ACTTTAGCAACTCTGTCAACTTCGTCAACTTCGTCAACTATGTCGATCATTTAGATCACATGACTTAATTTTAGCACCGTCACGGATCACGGCTTCACCGGTTAAAATTTTAATGACAGTTCCAACACTAGACTTTTAAATTATAAAATTTAACTTTAATATTTGGAGAAGAAAGACTTTCAATTTAAGTAAATTACCTCTCAAATCTCCAGTAAAATGGCGTTGACTATAGCATCATTTATAATTATCTAATATAAAAGAGTGAGATAAACAAGTTTTAAATATTTTTCGAGATGGTCGGTATTCGTTTCATCTCCTTGATGAATAAGTCACATTATAAAATTTTATCAATTTGCAGGACGAATAATAAAGATACATCTGGGTCGAAGTGTTTTTTTTATGACACATTTATTAACTGAGATAAAATCATGTGATCACATATATATTTATTATTTAAGAATCGCGTCTTAAGATGTCCCGTCGAAGAGAAGACAAAAAAATTTTTTTACATTGCGTTAATAATTTCCAAACTATAATCTTCATAAATTTAATTAATATTTATTCATATTTTGTAAAGATAATTTTGTTTTAAATTGATTTCTTTGACTAAACATTATTAAACAAAGTTATTATACACAAGTTGGAGTGGTTAATATACATTGGATATAAATTCATTTATCATTCATAGTATGTACTTTTAATGCATAAGTTCTTAACCTTAATCATTATACCTTTAATTGTTTTAAAAGCTATCTCTTCTTCTCCAATGAAAATTACTAATTAATAATCGGTCAACCCATTTTAACTAAATTGAAAAGTTTGTATGAAATTTTGAAATTTATTTCTAATCTTGTTCATTATATTTTATATTATAAACAGAAAATAAAATTGAAGCATCTCAAGATAAAATTTTATGTGAAAAGATGGTAGAAATTTCTAACATGAAATTATGGCACGCATTAAAGTACGTTGTTAAGTTAAATCATCCAGTAATAATATTATTCACACAATTAGAAGAAAATGAAGTTGAAATACTCCTAATTGTAAATTTGAGAGCTCGCAACATATTTATAAAATGAATTGCAGCTTATGCTAAGAATTCTAACAACAAATATTCTAATTGAAGATCATGACATTTGCTTTGAGATTGTCTATTTGAAAGATCAAGAAATATCTCTAACAATTTCCCGTTTTTGATAAAGCTTACCTTTCATTCATTCTTTTATTATTAATATTAGCTAAATAACCCAGGAATATTTTTAATACAATTATTGAAAAATCCATAATATGAGAAAGTCCGAAAGATTTAAATGATGCACAAATTGGTCTGCTAGTGTAAAATGCATTTGTATTCGCTCACTCAAAATTAATGTTTTTGATTTCCTAAAATTTAAATTATCATCGAATTATAGCAATTGAATGTAACTTATAAGTTATTAAAGAAATTGATTATTTTCCCATCGTTTAGGTTTAAAAATTCATTTAGTCAGCACAATCAAAAGTGGCTATAATAAATATCTTTATCGTACTAATCATGTATTGAAAATCTAAAAATATTTGGTTGTATCTAGTTATAAATAATTCAATTATTATTTCAACATCGCTCATTATTTATAAGAGAGTTTTCGTGGAGTTTATTATATAGTGACCATTCTAGTTCAATCTACAATTATTTAATCCCGTTGTTGGCTTGGTATCTGTAAACTTAAATGATAAACTTTTAACTCAATTCGTCGAATTAAATACAAGACAATATCACAATCACGCCTATATGAAGACACGACAAAAGGCAATAGTAAATG